GCCAGGCTGTCAAACACTTCCGGAAAAGGGTTACCGGTTTGAACAAAGGGTTTCTCCTACGCGGTCAACGGTCCATGTTTACATGGTGTAACGATATCAATACTGCAAACAAAACTGAAAATTATGATACTAATAATCACTGTTGTCAGTTTACAAACATATAATTAAAATTGAGTTTTTGGCCAAACAAATCGTAAACAATATATGTTAGCAGTCGGCACATAGACCGGGCTCCCGTCGCGTCTGGCAAAAACGACTGATGAATAAATAAAACGCATTTTGAAACCACAAATGAAAACAAAGTTACGATCTTTCAGTCGCCGAATCCGCAAATCGTTGCCGAGTTGTCGCGCCGCGAAGTTGCATTATGCGTCGCTGTAACTTTTTCATCGTCAACGATCATCATCATAAAAAGTTTCAAACCTCTTTTTAACTTTCATTTGTTCTTTACTTAGATTGGTCAGTTTTGTTAATAAACATTGAAGAATTATTAAGATTTAAACCAGGTGATTTTATATCTTAAACTACAGCTTTTGTTAATTCCAACTCCAAGTGATTAGTGATTTTAATTGATTCAGATTACAAGCTCACAGAAACAAACGAGCCATTAACAGGCGTCGGACGGAAAATTTTGCCTCCGGCTAAAATCTGAAAAGTCTCTATACACTTTTCATACTCCGCTGGTACTTTCGCTGTGGCTTGTATGTAAAGTCACCATTTGAGAATCACAAAACTGCGAAGCATCAGTAGTAATCTTGAGTAATTTTCAGTTGGTGATTTGCTTGAGTGAATAGCGAGATGTTAGCAGACAGTCAGAAGCCAGATAAACGCTGTCAATTCAGACTGGAACAACCATCGAGATATTTGATTGTCTGCGAGCCGGCTTTTAAATGCAAAAACAACAGTGATTACTTATCGCCTGAGGCAGTAAAACTTCATTAAAAACTTGTCCCCGTGTTGTTTTTTGATGGTATTGGCGCAGCGCTAAACTTGAGCGAAGTTGGTAATTAAGTCGCGATTTGTGTTTTTAACTTATCTAAACTAGCCGCAGGCACATGGCTAGAAGATCTGGAGCCGAGAAAATATGACAAGTTTGGTAAGAGCTGCTAATGATCAGCTTCAAACCACTCGAGAATTAACTCAACAAATCTGCTAAAACAAAAACAAACAACATCACCAAAAACAACAACCACTCAAATAAACTTGAGACCAAATCATGAAAGCTAATCCCTGGTAGAACTCTAGTTTTTTTTAGAATATCCACGGGGCGGGCGCATTTAGAGAGGGGGCTAGGGGAGACGCCTCCCCCACCCATAGGGATTCGACCCCCCTACCAATCAAATGGTCCCCCCATTTGGTTTTAATTTTTATGACATCCATTTTCGACGGTCAACCACAATTTTTTTTCAAATTGCCTTTGGTGCCAGTATATACTAATTTCGAAGGGGAGCGCGGCCGAAAAAAACGCAAATTTTTGGTCAAAAAATTCCAAAAAGAGCCCAAAAATGGCGTTTTTGACTTTTTCTTTCAAAACATTTCATGCGGCGCAGAAATTTTGTCAAAATAGGGTCTTTATAATGTTCTGGGAATGCTCGCTAATCAATTGGTCGACCTATAAAAAAAGTCGACGAAATTTATAATATGCATTTTCGTCTCCTAAAATCGACGCGGAAATCGTAACAGCATATCTCTAATTTTCACCTCGATATTTGACATCAAAAAACAATTTCAGCAACCGCATCGAACGCAACAACCGAACTGCCGTTTTCTTTAAAATCATTTTTATGAGATTGAAAAATTTCCAAAAGTATTACAAAAAGAAGCCACATTGTCCTCTGCTTTGTTGAATAAGGACCCAAGCTGGTTTCAAAAATGCTCCTAAAAATCAAATCATCACCGAAATCAAAATCATTGTTCAAAACCATTGCCATACAAGGTGCTGTTTTGTGAAATAACGCGAAATCAATTTAATTTTACAAAATTAGAATTGCCCTCAAAAATATGAATAGTGTCCGGCCCCCCATTGTGTGGAGTTGGGCTGAAATTGATTTGGGAAACAACTAACACACTTCTGGCGTCAAGAGGAAATGGGCACTTGGTAAGCGACCATCACTGAACACGTGACATTTCCGATGAACCCTTTTTAAGTACCTTGAGACACTTTTTCAAATCACTATTCAAGGGAAGGTTTCTCATCATATAAGTCATACAAGTACACCAAAAAGATAAAAACACAAAAGTGAGCGTTTGAGTGAGAAATCGCAACAAACAACAACAAAACTTTTTTGAAAAAAATCTTGTCAATTTTTGCGTCTCAGACTTTCGCAAACAGAAAAAATCTAAAATAGTGGAATTTTAGAAAATTCAAGACAAGTCTCGAAAAATGAGATTGTTCAATAATGAAAAAGCTCGAGAAAAACTTGGACCCGTTTGATTATTTTGCGGCTACAATTAGTCAATGGGGGAGGGGGTGGAAACTCGAAGGGCAAATTTGGGACAGTGTGTTGTGTTGGTGTGAGCTGGCTCAACGGGGTACGACAGGATAGCAGGCAATTTAGAGATAGGCGAAGTGGTGTTGGTTCGGGGTTGTTGAGAGTGCAAATTACAAGAAATCTAGGGGGGATAAAACATATTTGGGCCTTGTAATCCTGCTAGTTAACTGACATTTATTTCCAAAACATTAAGTTTAACAATGTGGTCGCGAATAGAATAAGCTGTCACCCGGCAACACAACATTGCATTTGGGGGACAGTTGCGATCGAACAAACTTGTATCGGCGAGTGTTAGTTGTAGCTTTTACTCCCGGTTGCGTGATAATTAAGCGGGATAACAGGAAACAAGTTATTTAAGCACCAAAAACAATTCCGCCAACAGGCTTTTTTAACAACCTTTAATGACAACTCTGCACAAAACATCGAGGCTGAAGTTCTGTTGGTTCGAATTAGCCCCGGCTCAATCAATTTCAAGCCCCGTCTCACCAAGTTGTAAACAGCGACAATAGCCCATTTTTGCCCAATTTGACAACACCATATTAACCTGTAGAGCCCCCTCCCCCCTCTTCCAAAACATCACTCCAGATAACACCGGTCCAGACCAAAGCCACAGACTTTTTAAACATACGTCCCAAGCAGCCGAACTCATAATTAGAAGACCTTTACAGCAACCGACAAATAAGTACTTCACAGAATAGAGGTCTAGAGTTCGAACCCTGCCCTTGCTCTTAGTAGTTAAGACTGAACTCATAATTCAAATTTTGTAAAGCAGTTTTGACCCAATAATCTTAGAACAAAGACAACAAAGGGTTCGAACCCCAACCACGCCGAATTTTAAATTTTCAGTTCTCAATTTTTTTATATCGAATTTTTCATAATTTATTTTCTCCGATCGACTTATTTGAATTTAGAAAAATTATTTAATTCTTAAAGCTCACTCATTGAAATGACAAGTGAGTAGGCTGGTATGCGTATCTTCCCCCCCCCCCCCCTTCTCTCTCTCTCTCTCTCTCTCTCTCTCTCTCTCCAAGGGGGTTGAAAACATACCAGCGGGTCTATATAGAAGAAAGAAAAAGAAGAAGCCATAAAACAGTTAGCATACTTTGGTGCAGTTGTTCTGTAGCAACTGTTATTATTCTGTCTTCTGAACAACTGGCTGTACAACAACACGTGTAGTTTGCCGCCACCTGCCATTTTATTACACCAAGTAGTGTATCTTTACGTATACATTCATGGCACCCCCCATACTAACTGGGTAAAACTCTCTAGTATATTCCGATCACCACCTCCCCCCCCCCCCCCCCCCTCCCCGAAAAAAATACCCCAGGCTTTTTTTGTCAAATTGAGCTATCACAACTTCACCCCCCCCCCCCCCCCCGTTGTTTTGTTTTGATAATTTATCCCCCTACACAGCCTCCCCCATTTTGTGTTGATTTTTCTGCAGCTGTCTGAAATTGCAATACCTATTTTTTTAATTTTTTTTCAATCGATTGTCTCCAAGAATGTTTTTCGAATCTAAAACGAAAGCTGATGTGCCACTTTTGAGAAAAAAAAACAAGAGCGCCGATACCCCTAAACCCCTAACATTAAGTTTGACTCAAACTCAAACCTAAATCAAAGCATTTACTTTTAGACAGTGCTGGTAAACATTTGCCCATATATTTATATTTGCAGTATTGTAATGACTTGTACAACTAATCCTAAACTAATTACAACTCCTCCCCTTTCATTTAAAATTCTACAAGCTGTGATTTCCAGACCTCTAAAACTGAAATAAAGCGGCAAGTTTGTTTTCAAAAACTGTCCGAAACTTCAATATTGTGGCAACTAAATCGTTGAGCTGGAAGAGAAAAACAGAAGAAATTTATGTGGAAAATCTGTTAAAATCAAAACACTTTTAATGGAAAAGTTCGGCGTAGTTTTTTTCGAAGCAAAATTAAGATTGAAATTTAAATAACTTGCGCTTCAGTTTTTTAAGTCGTCGTTAAGACGTTGCCGTTGACGAGACTTAATATTATCAAAAGATTAACTAAAATGGCGCACAAAGCGGAGCCAGCAAACTTGTCGGAGTTTGTCGAAACAACATGCGCATTCAAATTATCACTGAGCAAGTTTTTTTAGTTTCGCGAATTTGTTCTTCAAATTATCTGAAATTGAAAAATCATGATACAAATAATTTTATAAGCCAAATTGGGATGGATTTTTCAAAATTAAATTAGAAAAAAAACATTTTTCGAAAATAGCTTTTGAACAAATTTTAATGCTTATTCGCATTTTTTTCAAATAAAGTCAAATAAAACCTGCTCTAGCACCAGCGAAAACTAGGAAAAAGATACATTTGAAACTTTTTCATAACGCGAAAGATGAGACCTCGCACAAATCATCTCTCAGCAAAATCTTACTTCTATAGAAAATTACTTGAACTCTTAAATTTTTTCAGCTAATAATAAAAAAGAATATGCAGTTAAATAAATTGATTTTTTTTTCAAAAAATAATTAACATCTAATATAAAACTCTCAAACATAGGGCTATGAATTTAAAATTAATAAAACTCAATGCAATTGAGAAAATTTTTAAGCAAAAAAGAGTTTTCAGTTTTTTTACTGAGTTTGAGTTAAAAGTTTTTCGGCAGTGTTGTCTGATTAGTGAAGTTGAACATTGACACAGGTGATGAAAATGTAGGGTGAAAACCGGCATTTATTGCAGCTGACATTGCACCTGGGTTCGAATGAAACCCTGGAAAAAAAGATGGAGACCTCCCATAGAAATTCTCAATCTTCAAAATATTCGCTGAGTCGTGACTATACGAGTCTCCAAAAGCTTCTAAGCCCATTTTCGGCGACTTCCAAATCGGCGAAATCTGATTGGCTGGCGAGTGAAAACTGGCTGGAGATATTTGACAAGTCGTGCTTCGTGATGATGACTCATTACTGACAGTCGGCGAAGTCGCCAAGTCGGCAATCGACCAAATTTTGGACTTTTTAGTCGCATTCGACGAGTCGGTACACTGGGTTTTGCTGGTAGTAATATTTGATTTGCTTTTACTTGAGAGGTCGATTTGAAGAGGTCTCGCATTCGGTTTTTCTCCGAATGACCAAACTGACGAGTCTCGAGTCGTGTTCAGTTCGGATTCGCTGCGAGATGTTGGCGAGTTTGCGATGTTGTGAGTCGGTTCCGAAGATGATGACACCAGTGAAAGAGACGCAGCCGAGGAGAAAATGTCGGCGCTGCTGCTTCGTTTCGAAGGGTTCGGCACGTTCGTCTCAATACGAAGACCCTCGGCTCCTGGTCCGAAGTGTTGACCGAGTTGAGAAGGTTCTAGAACAAAAAAAAAATTCCATATTTGGAAGAAAATTTTGATTTTTTTGAAGTTAATTTCTCCATATTGCAATTAATTTTATTGGTGACATGAAAACGCAGACTATAAAGTTTATTTTGTTTGATGTTTTCTGGTTATTTTAAGTGGGGCTAAAAGTGGTCAACAGCAGCTCATGTTTAAGATTTTAAAATAGAGCAGAAACATAGAAAAATTGTTTTTCTGAGACTAAAAGTGAGCTAAGTAGTCTATCTAGTGCGAGCTATTAAGCGACTTTCTCAACGTAACAAGGTATTGAGAATGTTGTTTTGATTAGTTATGAATCGATTATGAACAAAACAAGCTTGGCTAATGAAGTTAGTTTATTCTAGTGATGGTTTGTTGACGCCAGCGTCGTCACCTTTTTATTTTATAATTGAGTTGTTTTTACAAACTAGAGTTAATTGCAAGTCACTTTGTTAGCCGATCACTTCATGTTTTCACAGACCACGCAACTTGAATAAACATCCACACCAAAAAATGCCACCGCTGGCCGACAACTCAAAAAGCCGACACAAAACCAAAAAGCGTAGAAAAACAACTGGCTTATAACATATTTAAATGATCTCCATCCAATCCATGAAGAAGAAATACTCAGAATCATAACTTTCATCAATCGATAAAAAATGAAAATAATTTTTTGAAGATCTTTATAAAAATTTTTTAAAGAAGTTAAATTTTTATCTTTCGCAATAACTCTGATTTTTTCTGTGTAATTTCCACGCGAACAAAAACATATTTTCTTGTAAAAGATTTATGAACATTTTCGAAAAAAATTTTCTTCTTTTTCATCGGTTGATGAAATTTGAGCTAATCGAATTGAATGGACTCCTGTTAATATGGTCCAATCTGTCTTACAACATAAAATTCTTTCGTGAAGATCAACTTTCAACAAGGCCCGAACAATTATATGAGTTTTATATAAGTTTAGACAAAAGCTACAAACAGCTGAAGAATTCATCAAAACATCAATTTTAGCTCCGAAAAACAGAAAAATGTCAGCAAAAAACTAATTAAAGCTTCGAAAACACAAGTCATGTGGTGTAACGACAAAGCACCAAAACATAATTAGTAAAAAATTTAAAGATATTGAAATGTAATTAATAAAAAAAAATTAAGTAAGGACCACCTACTTTGGGCTGTATGGAGCTGACTGGCACCGGAGTTGAAAGCTTCGCGAGACATCAACTCATTCAGGTCATTGACCTTCTCATCATTCATGACGTCATCGTCTCCGTCGTCATCAATATCGGCGTCTTCATCGTCGTCGTCTTCGTTTCCAGAGCCATGAGCCCAAGTCATTTTGTTTTCCTTTTTCAGCCGTCTTCTCGCATTTGCGAACCAAGTGGAAACTTGAGTGAGAGTCATTTTGGTGATGATGGCAAGCATGATTTTTTCGCCCTTGGTGGGGTAGGGGTTCTTCTTGTGCTCGCTTAGCCACGCCTTCAGTGCCGAAGTGGTTTCCCGGGTGGCATTTTTGCGGCGGGTGATCATATTGAAATCCATCGGGCCAAAACTAAAAACAACCAAAGATTTATTTAATTTGTCCGCAAGAAAAACGAAAATTTTTTAAAAAAATTTGAAAAGTTTAGGCTTGGCGTTGTGCTATAGTGCTCTTTTGGTGAATTCCAATCAAGCTTTTATAAAATCCCAGTTTTTGAATATTTTCGAAAATACAAAATAAAAAAATAAGGATATTATCATAATGTGCTTTTGCAGAGCAACCGAGTACTCTTGATTTGATTTTTAAAAAATATATATTAAAATTTTAATATTATGTTGAAATATTAAAAGTAATAACTTACCCATCAGGCGTGTGGTATCCCGGAAAATGTCCCGAAGAAGCTGCGGCCGCTAGCAAAGGGTGGATACCGCTGGCACCGGCTGCCGCCGGGTGTCCGGAGAAAAGAGCCGCGGCTGCCGCTGCACCCGGGTGGGGACCCTGTCCAAACATGGCCGGACTATGAGGAGGGGGGTGGGATAACCCGAGAGGCATTCCGGGGGGTGTTTGTTGAGATGCGGTGACAAAGGGATGAGGTGTTTGCGCGTGATGAGCAACGGAGGTGGCGTGAAGAGCTGCCGCTACTTGGGAGCTCCTGGCTGCTGAAACTGCGGCCGCCAGATCAAATCCACTGGACGAAACTGGGTTCTGAAAGATAAAATTAATTTTAAAATTGACCCTTTCAATTATTCTAAGCCTTCAAAATAAATTTTTAAAGCATTTCTACATGTGGAACGCTTCAAAATTAGGTTTTCCTGTTATAAATGAATATATAATTTTTCAGTTATCATATCGATAAACATCTAGGGCCAAAAACGCTAAATTAGTTGAATGACAGTTAAATAATAAGTTTCATTAGCACTTCAAGCTGAGATGTCCTCAAAATCATCCCATTCCTTTCAGAAAGCAAAAAAAGGTACAAGTATGATGGCTGGGTCCCGCATTTTTTGTGAAAATTTCAAAAACCACAAGTAAACAAATGCGAACCATGTTTTCGAATATCTTAAGGCCTAAAAAGTTTCCTTCAGGGACTCATCTTAGTTTTTGGGACCCAACAACCATACTTGTACCCAAAAAAAACTTAGAAAGTGTTAGAATTAACGGACAAATTTTAAAAATCATTACAAATCGGGAGGTTAATTTACCAGTTGTCGCGGAAAATGATGAGTTGTCGCAGTCGAAGAGTTGTCACCACTTCCCGGGATCTTCAAACCTCCCATGGATTGCGACTGCTTCTCGTTCGGGTTCGAGATACCCGCGGCTTGTGAAACCGCCAACTGTTGTGCTTGATGTTGTTGTTGCTGTTGATGATGATGCATCATAATGGCCGCTTGATGGAGAGGCGATGGTTGCAGAGAGTTCGGAACGTTCGATGCCCCCATTTGGCTCAGAGTCACCGCCGTAGAGTTCGGGTTGTAGAAAGACGTAGGGGGTACCAGAAGACGATTCATTTTCGATAAAATTGGTAAAAATTTGACCGATTATTTTGAATTTTATTAATTTAAATCAACTTGATATTGTAGTTTTTCTGTTTTACAAACTGTTTTTGATTTGTTTCCTCAAAATTTTACGAAAGAATTAGAAATTTAGAAGATGAGTTATTTAAATTGATGACACTTGGAATAAAAATTTTGGAGAGCCCAAAAAGGTTTTTTTTTAAATCAGACAATGATTTGATTTGATTACAGCCGGGACAGATATGAAAAATATCTAATAACTCTTGAGATAAATTCGTTAAAAAAGTCCAGCTACAGGCGATAAACACTCGTCCAATCAAAGACCACCTAGCTCATTGGCCAATCAAGAGGCTTGAATTAACCTGACTTTCTTTAAGTGTCTGTATTTGTGTCTTAAAGCGTGTTTTTATTAGCTGCACCTGATAATAAGATCGTAAATTCAAAGTGTATATAAAAACAACAATCGTATTAATCTCTGAATGAATTCATAAGTTGATATTCAAAACGATTTTTATTGGGTATTAATTCTCTGAGAGTTAAAATTTAATATAGTTTGTTAGTTACAATTCCACGAGTTTTCTGAAGGTCGTCAAAGCTTTTTTCTTGTCTGTTTTTCCTAGAATTGCTGTACAAGTACGAACAGGCGCGGATTTAGGAATTTCTCGAGGGGTGGGCGGATTTTCAAAAAAATTTTGAAAATTTTGTCGACCTTTTTTTTAGGTCGACCAAACTGATTTTGTGAGCTCTCTTAAACCACTATAAAGACGCAAAATTGACCAAATTTTCTGCGCCGGAGGCAAATTTTTTTAAAAAAGGCCTAAAAAGGCGTTTTTAGGCACTTTTTGTAAAATTTTGACCAAAAAATCGCGGTTTTTCGGCGCGCGCTCCCCCCTCAAAATAGGCATAGAAAAACTTTAAGGTCAGTCAGCCAAAAATGGATATTTCGAAATAGTACAAAGGGGGGACCCTTTGGGTCGGCTGGGGGTCGAATCCCTGAAGGGGGGGGGGCGAACGCCCCCCCCCCCTTAATCCGCTGAGTACGAAACTACCTTTCTTTAATTTGTCCAAGACAGATTTGGCTGTCATGATTTGATTTGACTACAGTCGGAGCAGATATGAAAAATGTTTTTTAACGTATTTAATTGCGCGTTTCTTGGTAATCTGTAACCCGGGCATCTTGTAGCCGACCAACAACTTCTGTGATGCGAGCCCAGAAAACAAAAAATAATCAAACGCTGAAAAATGGTTTGAATTAAGACTCGCAGAAATTAAGCACTTGAACAAGAAGAAAAACTTAGAAACAAAGATGATGACCGTTTCTTCAGAAGCTGAATCCTTTGTTTCAGAGTGGAATGTCAGTGGATTATCCGCCGACCCCAAAAATTGGCCAGAATAATTCATCAAAAAGTTTTTAGTCGGAGCATTAATTGATAATTTGTCAAATTCTGTCTGAATATCTAATAAATTTAACAAGGATAGCCGATTAATGTGCAAGTAGCACAGAATGTTCCAACCATAGTCCTAAAAAAGCAAAAAAAAAGTTTTTTCAAATAAGCGTCGTTTTTTCCTGTGTGGTGTGATTAAAAGATCTGAACGAAAAAATAAACTTAGACAGATTCGACAGTCATAGCACAATAGGCCAATTGGAAAGATGTTTTTGTAAAAAAATGACTCGAAAAACGACCAAAATCGTATAGAGAAATTTATTAATTTTTTCTAATTAATTTGCGGAATTTTTTTGTTCGCAAAATGGCGCAAAAAACTCCCGAAATTACCTTTACTCCAGTAGAGCTGAGTTTTTACGGCTTAATTTAGGCTTAAATAAACTATTGTTATCCTCCACACTCGTTTTATTAGCTCGAAATTAGACCAAAAATCAAAAACATCGAAATTTTTAAATTTCGTTTAAATTACGACTGAAAGGGCTTTAATATGATATATCACTTGACCCATTCCGATGATTATATGTGGTACCTGATTTTGCGTGGAAAAAAAGAAAAAACTAAAACACCCAAATACAAAGTGTCTCCACATTTTTCAAATGGTCGGAACAAAAATTAAATTGACAAAAAAAATTTCTGTAGTGTCGAGAAACAAGGTCCAAATTTTTTGTTTCGAAACGAATTTACACACCAGGAAGTAGTATCTTTGGATGGTGCCACATTCAAAAATTTCCGTGGCTGAAGATTAATGTTCCAGATAATTGAGTCAGAATTGTACAAACAATTAAAATATATCTGGGCAAAGCATGCAATGGATCAATTGAGCAATCAAATCCTTGCCCCCCCTTCCACCCGTAATGACCAACTGAACTATCTTTTCCTAACAAAAACAATGAAACATTAACAAAGATACTCTCACCAAGTAACCATATAGTTGATGTTTTCATAGCTCGCAATCAATTGACCGAATAGAGTTTACTTTTCTATTTTAAGAGAAAAAACCGAACTTTTTTTGTGAAATTTTGTTTGTGGGCTACCATTGCCTCGAGGAAAACAAGTTACCAGGTTTGGTACTCTAACTTTGTATCTGGATACCGAAAACTAGTTTTCGCATTTTTTAATAATGCACTCAATAGTATTCAAAAACATAGGCGTACCAAATTTTTCAGTCTCCATTTGGCAGGGCTCTTGCCTCTTGCTGCTATCCAGTGCGGTTAACCATTGAGTTGCTCGTTTCAAAATGAAAACTTTCATTGAATTTTAACTCACACGAAACCAATATTTGGGCTGAAGCAGGTTAATATTTAGGGACCGGATGCCCCTACCCTCTCATTTGTTATCAGGTTAGAATTGCATCTAAAAATTGTAAATAAAGCATAAAATTTGATCTGACCTTGTTTTTCTTTATAACTCGTGCGTGAAAAAACAACAAAAACAACACCCGAACATTTGCTGTTTTGAGGTCGGAACAAAATTTGCTATTTACCGACTGTTCAGTTTAGCACTTTTTGCTATATAAAAATTTTATGCCAAAATTCGAAAAACATAACTTTTAAGAAAACTGACAGAACATCCGTTTTCTCAAAAAAAATTTCAGCTCAAGTAAAAATGTCTGAAGAGTCTGCTGCACTTCTTCTGAAACGTTTTAAATAACGTTAGATCAGAAAAATTTGCAGTAACATAGGCCTCCAACCATTGCTTGCTTATAGCGTATAGTAAAATGAATTTAAAAATTTGAAAAAACTTGAAATTAAATTTCTCAAACATTACAAAAAAGTGTTTGCAGAAAAACTGTAAAACTCTGTAATCTATGAACTCAACGAAGCACATTAGTCTACATAAAACGAAACGGAGCTTCGCATCTTTTGCAATGACACACAACCACATTGCAAGCTAGCAAACAAATGCAGACAAAATATAATTAATTAATAACTCGATAAATGTCCGTTAATCCGAAAACAAGATAATTGTCATGAAACATTTTGAGCTAAAAATTTCTGAAGTTTGAAAATTTTACCTTCCTTTTGCTCCTGAAACACACAATTTTTTTTCTTCAAAAATCTGTTTTTTTTTCGAACGACTAAAAAATTAGGTGTCTAAACTGATATAACACAAGCCGAAACCATTCATGCCGAATAAAAACAAAAAATAAGCGAAATCAGGGTTAATAATACAAAAAACAACAACAACGCTTTCCATCACAGTAAAAATTTTAACAGAAAAATACCATGCTATCGCAACTAGGCCGACAATCAAAAAGCCGACATTTTTTGAAGCGAAAAAAAAAGAGATGCCCTGACTGAATTTGAACCTACAATCTATGACACCCCAAGCGTAGACCTCTAGTTTATGTACGCTGAAAAACCGCAGGAATTTGAATTCATAACAAATCGAGCTATCTCATGATTCAAGTGATTTTGTTAAAAAAGTTAAAAACCTGAAAACTTTCTTAAAATTGAAAAGTCTGTATTCCGATTTGATAACGCTTTCTAATCGCAGGCGTAAAGATTTACTTCGAAATTTTGAGGATCAAGCTAATGGCATGCCTTAGTCTTCTTCTAAACAGTCCAACAGATTTTAAAATATCCAAATAAAAAAACTCCAAGGAATCTGCAGAAAAAGGTTATGCGAATAATCTGCCACCTTATATACTGCATAAACTGGTCGAAAATTTGATTTTAATTTCAATTTCAGTAAGCAAAACAGCGAAATTAAAATATTAGTAACAATAATATTTTCTCACTGGCCTTCACTTTTTTTTTACTGTTTTACTATTGAGCTGCGATGTCAATTAATTGTTCCAAAAAGAATTTAACTCCATGATGTTTAGATTGTGCCAGGCTTACCACGAATTTCGTTTCTTTTGCATAATTGCTCTCAGCCAAATTCTCGATAGTTTAATTGAAGACTTCTGGTTTTTAATCCTTATCGAAGCCCAGCAAAATCATTTAAATTCTTAGCTTATAGATTCTGAATCATCATTAAAAACAAACCATGATAGTACGAAATCTGCATTAGCAACCATGTTCAAATTTTTTGATTACTTTATCTTTCTGAAATATTTTGAAATAAAGCCATCAAAAAAATTTAAAAATAAGTTCTATTTGGCGTCTTTACTTTTTAACACCAACTTTTTCAACCCGATTTTGACTTCTTAGTTCAGATTAGAAAAATTGACAGCGGGCAATTAATGTTTTGAAGGATCCAGTTACTCAAATCGGTGTTGCAATTCGCTAAATACTCAACTCAATTGATTCCCAATTAGCCTGATCCCAATATCAATTCTTCTTGATATCAGACCAGGTAATGACACTGGAAAGATTAGGCGCTGCTTTGCAGTTGTGTTCGCTGGAAAACAAGGTAATCGGAACCTAATAGCGATAAAAATTCTAATTATTTCCTAGTGAGATTAACATTATTTGTCCAAAGTCAGTCCTTTAAGAGCACAGGTTTGAATTATAAATGACAGCTGGTCATTTTACACGTATAGCTGTCCCTGCTGATGATTTTCCAGCCAGATTTGAAACTTCCGCTGTTTTGATTTGCATTTTTATCTCTGTTCATAGTCGCTTGTTGAACAAACTAACTTTTCATAACCAAGTTTACTTATGACCTCAATTGAACAAACAACTGATAAAATTTTCACGCTGTTTATTTTTTAAAAATATCAAATCAAATCTATCATTTTTCAGCAGAAATTTAAGATTTTTTTTCAGGAAATGAAGTATATTGCCACAGGAAATCATAATCAGGGCGAGTCTTCACTCAAATATGATACAGTTTTGACTCGGTATCATAACTCGGTATCATAACTTGCCATTGAAAAGAAAGAAACTCGGGTTTAATTGTAAAATCAACCCTCAACCAGTCAAGGAAAGAACAAAAGAGGGCGTTAATTATATTGCGGGTAACGCCTTTTTAAGTTACAAGTTTTGCCCCTTAAAAACAACTTTATTTCATTTATTCACAATTCGGCAAATTT